AAGAATGAAAATGTAACACATTACCATACACAAGTATTAGATGAATTCCCCACCCTACTCTATTTTTTTTTAACGGCAAATGCACATTTTTATTCGAGATACTCCATTTAACTTGGCTGACTATTCTATCAAGGATCGATTTATAATAAGCGACATCAAAAAAAATTTTTACCGTGGTTAGTAATCCCACTTGATTCCTTGAGTAGTTTGGTATTTTAGAAATTCTCCAAATGTGTAAACCGGTATATTACCCACGGTTTTTAAGTTCACCATGTGATGTGTAGTATCCAGGGATGGCCAAAACCGAATAATTCTGTATTTCGACAACATTCTAAAGTAATCTTTTAGAATATGAAATTGCATATGTATTCTGAAATTGGTCTGTTCTACAAGAGAAATTCTTCAAGACAGTTGTAAATTCGTAGAAATCAAATTTGGTTAAATATTGTTTTTATTAGTATTCTCTTATTATTCTGTCAGAAGTTTTTGTCTATCATAAAATAATAAATACACCATGTATTTTCAAATGAAAATACAATACTAAATCGAATATAACCAAATTCGAATGTATTTGAATATTCGATTCGTTTTGGACATCTCTGGTACTGGCTATTGTCTAACAGTGTAAAGCGTTAAGTACATTAAAGCCACATTAAATTTGATCGTTATGTTCCACGTTTAATTAAATGTACGTTTTATTAATGCAGAGAAGAAATGCAACCGGAGAAAAATGAAATCTAACATTTGAAAAATAATTTTTATTTATACATTGATTATTAAAATCGATATCATCATTAGTGAATTGGTTACTATAGTTGCATCTTTAAGCTAGCGGCGGTGTTTTATAATGGATATTGCACAATGATACATTTCACTGGTTTTCACCAGACCGAGAAACCAAATGAACACAAAATAAAATTTGCCTCCTCATTGCTGAATGATTTTATCGTTGTTTGATGAATATAATCCTTTCTCCTGATTTTACACATAAATGTAAATTCTGTATACCATAATACAGGTACAGGGTGATCCAAACATATATCCGAGATCAGTTAGGACCTATTCAAAAGAGATGACACAAGTTTTGTGAAAAGCGCCCTAGATTGTTGATACGATTTGGTACAATCATACATTAACAAAACTTCCGAGTGTTAAATGAATTTTCTTCATCTTCATAGAAGTAATTAAGAATGGCGCTCCTGAAGTGTGTTTACCAATATGAAGGTAACTAATTTTGTTCGTCCACTTTACATCAAGTTGTGTAAAGAGACGGAAGCCTATGGCAGAGGGTATATTCACTTGGCTAACACAGACACCGAACTCGTAATAGACCTAAATAAGGAAAATCGGAATAAAATTATGGTCTAACCCTAACCTGGTACACACACTACGGTAGTACTAAGAAACTATGTGGGTTCTGTTTTTTTTTTTGGTCACGTGTTCTTTACCTCGCATTCGTATAGTAAAAGCTTATAGAGTTTTATTTAGACTGAGAGTTATGAAATCACGCTAATGTTTTGATTTGCCTTTTGAACGCAACAGGAGTAAATTTCCGGCGAAGTCGTACTAACTCGTGATAAGAGACCTCGCCAACAAACTATTAAAAATACTCGTTACCCTAATTACATCTCAAGTTAATAATGCACACTTGGTAAGTGGTATGATTTACTTCGAAATGGGGGGCTCATTTTAATTTTATAGCAGTATAAATTACAAGTCGAACTTAACCGCGACCGTGAATCATTCCTATGGCGACGAGATTGCGGTGACGAATTAGACGATTGAATTAATGGATTGCGTGAGAGGTGTAGGGGTTAAAACTTAGTCACCATGGTATTATAGTCTATTATGCAGTAGTTATATCGATTGTATTTTTAATATAATTTGTGAAAGGGTTGAGTTATCGGACGAATACAAACGAATAGAGTGGGAAGACTTGTTCAAAATTAGTACACATGATCACTAATGCTGCTTTTTCCATATGACTCTCATTCAATCCTATGCAATCAACCACTGAGGAGTTACTATTGTTTGGAGGGACCGGAATCTTTCCGATTGGCATTACATACCAAATTTATTACATCTTGGGTGAAGTAAGGGCCATGGTTATACTGTATATATAAAAATTTAAATGCTTATATTTCCAATCGACGAAACTGAAGTCACTTAATGCGTAATCATGATAAAGAAAAAATGTTTAATATTCAGTTTGAATGAATTAGAAATTTAGAATTGCACAACTCATCCAAGCTGTTCTCCAACATCAATATATCCATTCGTAACTCATGTTATTACTGTATTGATAAGACGCATTTTCATGTTGTTATAAAAATTCTATCGCATCAGCTACAACCAAAAGACGTCACAAAATTTAGATAAGTGTTATATTCTAAAAATGGGAGATGAAGCACAACACGATTATTGAAAAATGTGCCTGATTTCAGCTTTCTTTAAAATGATATATCATGGCGTACGACAAGAAGCGTTGTTGCACCGTTAATGTTCATGGTTTATAGATTAGCATACTATGGAATACATCTAACAAATAGATACATGGCCAGTCCGTAAAAAGTAGTTAGCTTGTCAGCAGCTAAGCGTACAAGAATTACAGGTCGCATCACTCGCCTAATGAATGATAGGCACCACCGCGAAAAGTGGTGCGATACTGTGATACAACACCGTGTCTCTCTGGGTGACATGTTTTCTTTCTACCATGACGAAACAACACAATATAACGTTGGTCGTCGATACATTGGAAATCAGCCGTATCCCTAGTTTAGTACAAATTACCTAGAGTGGGCTGATGACATCGCCTTTTTATACCCTTTTCCATGTTTGGCAACGCCAAAATTAAAACTTGATATACCGTGAAGATGAAATTTTGATCTATTAACGAGAAGGAAAACTTATACACAGAAACATACGATATCAAAGATGAATCTTGTAAAAATAGACATTAAAACAATGGTTGCAAGCGGCCCAACTATGTACCCCTGCACCAAAATATATCTTTTTTGACAGGCCCTAATTACCAAATCAGCTTAGTATAAATTTAAGCCGGCGCTTCCTGCCAAAAGGGCAAAAATTTCACCCTTCACAAACGAGGAAGTTAGTATTCTAAAACCGTAAAACACGAAAATAGGCCATTTCCGTTATTGAGTCAAAGGTAATGGGTCAAAGATCATGTGGCATTGGTAGAACTTAGAGCAGTGCTCCATTCTATATTAATCCACGATATTATTCAAATATTTGATATAGGAAATTAAATCAAAATGGCGTTTCCACAACATTCTTCAATCTCTATTGCACAAGGCGAATCACAACCAGTGTGGCCTTCAAACTTTTGCACTCATCACATCAAAAAGCCAGAACATGTAAGTCAAGAGGTGGTGTCGAAGACTCTGGTGTTATTTGCGGACTCGCGCGACATGTGTGAGCAACAAAGACGACGGGTTCAAGTTCAGATCCCCGGGGTTCATTATAATAAGCTAAGAATAGCAGAGCGGTAGATAGGAAGAAGCCAAGTTCTTCTTGGAAATCAATAATTCGGCAGTTCTTGTGGCAATGCCAGGTTCAAAATTCAAATGCCATTTTTCTACTTTCCCCTCAAAACATCATTAATTATTAGCAATAAATTCAGAAACAAAAAAAAATCAGTTGCCATCTGACCTGAACTGAACTGGCTTTACAATAATAACATTAGCGTAATCAAATTAGCAATATTCACCCATCGTTAAAAATTTCATCACCTACCTATATCTAATTATCTGTGGTTCACGTTTGACGGGATTCACGTCTTCGAGTGTCCACGTCAAACGTCACGTGATCTTAATCGATTTGCCGGCGACACCGACGGGTTTAATTGAACGGAAAACAAATTAGGGCGGTTTATCATAACGATAAATTGTTTATTACACATTTCTAAACAAGAAGCGTGCATTGCCTTCATGTGCGCAAATTATATCTTTGAATTGCCGTCGGGTTGATCACATTATTGGTTGAAATTTCAAAACCGTGACACGGAGAGCGGATTACAACAGCTGTATACGACAAGAACTATTTTAAAACAGTCTCAAAATGACATTTTAAAGAAATACACTTGGTTAGCATATTTCTCGATAGTATATTTACGAATATTCGTGATTATGTTCAAGGACCAAGAATGAGTGACGAAAACTCTTGTCCATTAAATAAGTCTCATAATTCTCAGATTGGGTATGGGCATTCTTAGGTGGGTATGTCCAGAAATTTGCAATTAAAAAATTTTTGGTAACTTTACACAGGGAATGAATGATATCTTCCTTCCTGAGTGCCAAATACAGAACGTAGTTTTGTTGTATGTCTTTATGTGCGATTCATGAATTAATGGCAATTATTAAATCTGTCGTTTCGGAAAAATTCTGCCTTTCGGATACTTCATCAGTACAATTATTCGCACTGGCCGTATTGATACAATCATTCGGACACCAAGATTCGTATTGGAAATGCCCCGAGGTTTCTTAATCCTTGGTACACCCAACAGTAAAAGGTGCGAGAACTGTTTTTTGGTACGCAAGAATGAAAAATCGTCAAGATTGGTTAAAAAAGGAGGTAGGTAAAAGACACAGCATGGTAGAAACAACAGCAAAGAAAACAATAAGTATTTTGCTGTAACTTACGTAACACTATAGTAATTTGCTTATTATTTTCTAATGTGATATATATAATTAGAATAAATAACACATCCGCCAATGCTCAAAATAATAAAATTAGTAATTATCCAGTTAGGGTTTGTATTAGGAATGCAGGATGAGCTGGAAATTCACATTTTCAAATTAATCCTAAGTCCAACTGAATAATTACTAATTTGTTAATTTTCAACGTGGCGTGGGTGTTTTTCCCAAAAACATAATCTATAAAAACACAACTTTTGCGCAATGCGTCCTATATTACTGAAACATTAAAAAACATTAAAAAAAAACATTACTGAAACAAACATACACAAATACAAAATATCATACCTGCGAGTGAGTTGTTGGTCCTTGCTATTCCATTCTCCTCAGAATATCCCTAAAACAACATAATAAGTACAACTTATATAACAACAATAGGCTCGGACCGTACATAAAATCATTTATAATCTCGTTTGCTTCTACACTTCACGTTTAGCGCATATTTTATAGGTTACACAAGAATTCACTGATCGGGCTGCTTAGTGTCAGATATTCTTTCAATTGGAATTAGGGTATTTCACTCACAGAGATGAGAATCGTTCTTTAAGGTGATTCATCATATTTAACGTAGCGATACTCCTTGATGTTTAATCTAATATATAGAAAACCGATACTCATATTAATATCCACATATCGTAGAAAATAAACAATGGCCGACAAAGAAATTTGAGGACTAATAGGAAAACAACAGGTATTGGCATAGGAGTTATCAAATTATAGATTTGAAACGGTAGGCTCGTAATTCAATGATCCCGCTTAGAAAAATCCCACTTTGCACTTCAGTTTTGTAAATTCAAATAGCGCACTATTCAATATTTCACCTTCCAAAAAACACTGGCAAAGCTCATGATTGAGTAAGGTTAAAATTATTAAAAGTTGCCAGGTAATTTTTCTATTCTTTTTAACAGTATCAATACTTACCGATACGGATGGACAATTTGGATCTCTCGTCATGTGTTCCCAACCTAGAGACAAGTAAACAATAAATAAAAACGATTAATGATGACGGTTAAGCAAATTGAATTAAATACTATTACAAATAAAATCCAGAGTCTCGCTTAGTTCAATCATCACGTCTACGATGGATTCTACCTTTACGAGAGACTCTATTCAAACTAATTAGAAATTACGTAGGTAGTGAAACGTTATGGTATAGTTCAGAGTGGGCAAATTAAGGCCGGCGGGTCAAAAATTTCTCTTTGTCTAATTCAATCTGGCCCGCCTTGTGCTGCAACAACCAAACTAAAACCAAATTTTGATGTTTTACCTAAAATTAGCTCAAGGAATTTGTTGAGATTGCGATTAAATTTGGTTTTGGCACGAGGCTTATTGTTTTCCACGTTTGCTTTCGTAACACGGTAAATACTGTTCACGAAATATAACTTTTAAGTCACACTCACATGGCCCGTTAGACTAGATATGCGAAATTTCTGGCCCCAGGTTCAAAAACCACCCATGGTATAGTCCCACACGTCTTGTACACCGGCATCATTGAACTTGTTTTGAGCACAATTAGGAGAGAACATGAGATAAAAAAAAATGCCAGTATTATCCACTGAATCACAAATTTAAAACGCAAATCGCTATCGTCGCACATAACGCAATAAAAACAATTCGGACGCCGTCAAAAACCATACAATACATAAGACACGTTTCTTATAACGTTAACGGTAATATTATACGCTAAAACGACGTGCGTCCAGGTGTAGCCACAAACAAAAATATTCATATACATTCTTCGATATCGTAAATCAAATCGCTAGTTAGTAAGATTGTGACAACTTTTAAAACACAGTAAAATAAGTGGTATTTTCATGTACTTCATTTTTATAAAACGTGCAGTTAAATATGGCCCCTTTTCATAGACATTTACGTAAAGCGTAGTTAATATTACTGGTTTTTTCCTAACCATGAGTATTGTAATATTACAGTTGAAATGATTGGGCCTCCTCTGAGAATTGCTAATCAATATATTACAATATAAATTTAATACAAATATTCAAAACAGAACAAATATTCACCTATTCGCAGAGTGGATTAAGGTTGTCAATTTATAAGGGGTAACAAGCGAAAAACGGTAGAATGAAAAGCTTATCAAGAAAAGCTATATTTACTGTTGCATATTAACTGAACTAAAAAGTGAGTCGAAATAAATATATTTTAAGCATACGATATTGGAAAAGGCTACATACATTCCATACACATGAAAACATGAATATATGTATTCTTTAGGGATTATCAAGGACTATTCCCATATGGACGCCTATGCCATTTACCGGTTTTTAGATATAATATAACAAGTTTGGTATATAGATGAAAAAATCGCGTTTACATGGCCCTTATGGGTTGGAGTATAATAATTTGTACGCCCGCTGACCAAACACAGAATCCACTTGAGTATCGTTCGGCATCGAGATTTAAAAATTCCGCTCCGTGTAATGGTGTATAATATTCAACATGTTGAAAGAAAAATTATATCCTGTAGTCACTTCATGAAACAGGTATTTTGGGGGCAAGAATAACAAAATATTTCCGATGAGGTATGGGAACAGTATACACTTTTGCTACATCTAGGGTGACCAGGAAGAACGGTCGTCTGGAACATATTTAGGAAATAAAATATTTATTCGTGCAAAGCGTCCTAGATTACAATCAGACGTGTAAGTGTTAATTAAATATTCTTTATTTTCATGGAAGTAATCAAGAAATGTACGGATTTTGTTTTTTGTGCGATCACCCTCGTTAATGCAAAGTATAATGTAAACGAGGCGGTTAAATCATGAATGACGAATTGCGGAGCAATTTTTCCTTACTTAGGCAACAATCAAACAGTCCACAGTTAAATCAGTCAATGCAACCCTAAGGTACTTAATATACAGTAGAAGAAGATTTACAAGAAAACACTTCAACGGTATGGAGGCACTCGACGACGCGTGCCTTATCTTCAACTTTAAGATTGAGGTTATGATATTGTAAAGGAAGGAATACGAACGATATTATATTGCACAAACATTTGGACTCGGTTTTTGCCTAATTCAAAACATTCGGAAATTCCATTTCTAATTCTCCTAAAGTCTTTACCAAGCCTGGGAGTCATGTGTCAAAACGAGGGCTCATAAGCGGCCCGCGTTCGACTAGGTATATTTTATATAATATTTAACTAACTGTGATGTGGTTGCAACTATGATAAAAAAGGTTTGCTTTGCTCTATACTTACCGTGGCGAGCAAAACACGGGTTGAAGTGGATAGGTTGAAGCAGGTGAACATTTAGCTGATTGATTATATATCGGTGTCAATATTTGTGCTTTAACCAAAATGTCAACTAGCAGAATAAAATATTTTCTTTTTTGCGACTTATCAGAATGATTTTTCAATGCAGTTTAGACTTTTTTCTTATACATTTTCACATACATCGATTTTTACAGTCATTGTAATATATGAAACCGGTAATATAACAAGCGAATGAGAAATCCATGCAAAATACAAAATTCGCTGGAGATGGTTGAAGGGCGGAGACCCCGAGAAAATGGTCTGGGGACTCTGTTGCAGATATTATAGTTTCCTCTAACAAAACGACAACGCATATTCATGAAATTTTTTTTAAAAATATCAATCTAGTGAACGCTTTCATTTCTAACTACTACAAATTGGACATGGGTTGATCTAAATAACAAAGACTCGACTTAAATTTTTTTTTTTTTGATCATTTTTCCGGGCCCTCAAATGTTAACAGCTATATATTTCTGTAGGTTCTTCGTGCTATTCATAGTGATCTATATCCAGCCCATGGCATTTCTTTGTGCGTATAAGGCGAATTGAATAGTACCATGCGTCAATTCTAATTTCAAGGCGGGACGTCCGTATTTATGTCTTGAGGGATTTTACCTCAGCAGGTGGTGAGCATTGTCACTGAACTGAGAGGCGTAGCTTGTAATCCAAAGAAGCTATTTCTATGTTCCCGTCTATATTGCGAGTAAAGGGCGAAAAACTTCATTATATTATCAAACCCAAATCCCAATTACAGACACCAGACTGATCTGACTGATCTGCAAAACTGATCAGGCGGGTATAAAAATGATTACGGTTAGATATCGCAAACACTGGTACTCTCGTAGTGGTGTACCAGGTTAGGGTTAGGCCATAATTTTATTTCGATCTTCCTTATTTTAATTCTATTACGAGTTCGGGGACTGTCTGTATTAGTCAAGTGAATATACCCCCTGCTCATAGGTTTCAGTCCCTTCACACAACTTGAAGTAAAGTGAGCGAAAAAAAAAACTAGTGACCTCTATATTGTTGCACACACTTCTGGAACGCCAAATTACTATATTTTTCTTTTGCTATTGGACGACAGCGGAAGCGATAGTCATTCCATTTTAAATAAGCAGAAAAATGTTTTGCCCATACCGGTAATTTATTATGGAGCACTGGGATTTGGGTACTGGGAGAAATTCTAATAAATCTGACCTGCATTGTTTATTATTATTTTTTATGAAGATAAAAATATATAAGTAAGAACCAAATGCTAAATAATGGGGAACGAGATATTCAAAATATCATTTCTGCATAATCGATTAAAAAATTCCCACACGGAATTAAAAACGAACAGTATTTTGGAATTACTCATCGCGAGAAAATTTACAAATGAATAGGTCATACTCGTAATAATATGGCATCACCAATCGGCGCAACCAAGCCAATAACAATGGTAAATGAGATGGCGATGTCTTAGGTAGAAAAGTAAATTACAGCCGTCGGGTATTAAGTAGGACTAGCCTGTTATTTACACAGCTGTTTGTACCTATTGCCGGTCTCACCTATGAAGAAAACTTTATCGGCGGTCAATCAATTTTGGTTAGCACCGTGTTTGCAAGAATGTATGAAGCATTGTTTGGTCCAAATTGGGCCAAAGGTGTTTCAGAGAAAAATATAGCGAAGTTGACAATATTTGAAATTTCCAGACCCATGCCATGTTAGATTGAACATTACATCTCAAATATTTTACAAAAAATATTTCTTACGTTTTTGCATACTTTCACGAAACTATTTGTTTGTATTCATGACTTATAATATACCGTAGAGGGGGTCAGATGACTAGGACGAGCTAACGGTAATATTATAGACGATATTAATAACAATACCCTTTTTGAAACACATGGTAATATCTGTTAATTAAATTGCTACCGATTTTTCCATACGCCAAAACGCGCGCACGAATGCTTATTATAACGGACATCGCTCTGAAATAGTTGAATACAAAATCATACTAACACAAGAATTTGAGAACGGTTCTTTTTATTGCGTTTGCACATTACACTTCGATCATTAAATAAAACATCATCATAGTATGATTGGCTGATGATGATAAGATTTGTAACCCAGTGATGCGTGCTATTTATTACAAATATCGGAGTAGTAAAATTTGAATTGTTTCTTTTCAGCAACATCCATCTTTGCTGTTTTAGTATCAAAGGATTGGCCATATATTAATTGCAGAAGACGTAAATCATTGTATAACGTCAGTCTGCGCACGGGCGATGATTGTACGAATTGACCTTCTACCCACATCTACTTCTCAATTATTCCACACAAGAAAATATGTCAGGGGGTGAGATTAATGATTTAATGCGGGCACTTTCTCCGCCAGCAAATCAAAAAGACAAACAAAAATAATCGATAACGAAAGTGAATCTTCGTGTTCTGTGTTGGGGTAACTAACGTTACAAAAGGCAGGATTGACTAATTCCAATAGAGCATTGTAAGAAGAGTAATACACAAATAAAAAGGTGTTGAAAGCACTTAGAAGTCAATGGGATAAAAGACCATTAGAGACATTCTCACACCTTTACCCATTAATGAAACTAGATCACTTATTATTAAAATCAAAAAGCCCCTTCAATAGGAGATGTAAACAAACAATACAACAATAAGAGTACTAAAATAAAGGAGTAATTTAACTTTTAATTTATGGTAATGATCATGCGCAAGAATTGATCTAAATAATAGATATTTGCTTAATTTAAATTTTTTCGAATTCATTACCATGTACTTATGCATTTTTGGGCTACTTTTGCTTACGAAAATCTCTGTAATATGTACATAAAATAATAAATACCTCCGTGTAGCTTTGAAATTATGATTTTAGACTAGATCAAATTTGGTGTAAATCCTGATTTTGAAATAACATCATCCAAAACAACTTTTGAATGCAAGCAATCTTATTAATAGACTGAATGTACTTGGCGACCGAAAATGAAAGATTTGGACATTTATTACAATAGAAAACAAATCATTTTTTCAGTCCATCTCTAAAAATAAAGTAACAGGCAATCTGTCAGTTCGTTTTCAGTGAACAGGTGCTGATAACGCCGCAAATTTTACGCTAAAACCGCATTGTGTACTTGTCAGGTAGGTGGTAAAGCCAAGCAAAACAAAGTGAAATTCTTATCTATTGTTATGGATCGTTATCAGCGTCTGACCCCGAATGTGATGGATGTGAAAGGGAGCATTGATAACCCACACAAGAAACATCAATGATGAAGGGTTTCCCATAGTGTTTGTACTAATTTTCTTTGTAAATTCATCATGTTTGAATTAATTTACATTTAGCTATTACCTGACTATGCGTCTATGCATCTTTGTATTAGAAAGCGCATACAAAAATATTAGCAAATTTGGGATCTTGGCAATATCACGAATCCATTTTTCAATTCTATATCTCGGCTACATATTTTGGAGAATCACTATTATTAATTAAAGTCAAATTTTAAAAACCTGTTTTTCGAAGTCTCCAAAATAATGCTAATGATATACTTAATTCAATTTCATTTTCTATGCTTTCTTGATTTATTTCCCCCCAAATTCACACAAGAGGTAGAAGGTTTACTACTCAACTGAGAAGAAATGATAAACTCTTAGCGACAGCATAACTATCACAAAACAAATAGGTGAATAGACATATTTACTTGAAGCAAACTTACTGATATTCATAATCATCAGATACATTCTATTAATTGAATGATTGCGTGAAAACAGGTTCTTACCCTGCCTCAAGAATTGCATGTGTCATCAAGTTAGTTATAAGCCTAATTGCAACACAGTTTATCAAGCTGTCAACAAGTAAGATAATCAAACTCCCATGAAGGTGTTAACACAAACTGTGTACATAAATGATGATATAGATTGACCAGGACCCCAATGAAAAATCAATTTGTGCATTAGTGATTGACATTTGACCACCCTACTAATCCATTTCAAAACGTTAGACAACCAAATTAACCTTTGTCAAGGACGGGGCGGTGTGTACCTTTACCCAATCCTCATTACTGATTTACCAAAATTAGATTGAATAATATGCAAGAAGTGCAACTTATTAATGTACAAGTTAATAAAATGGTTCACAGCAGGTCAAAGGTTAATCTCTATGAATTCTTTCCACGTCATTTCCAAGCGCTAGTATTAGGACAAAGGTAGATTACAATACAAATGAATCTCATCTTAATCTTTAGAATGCGTCACTAAAAAAATTGAACTTATTTTAATTTTCATTCAAATTGAACTACTAATAATATGGAATATTTACTGCAACAAAAATTTAGTCTGCCTTCAGATTACTTGTTCACTCCCCAAATCAATAAAATGAAGAAAGCTATCATGAAGTCATAAGGATATAACTGAAGAGTAATCTTACCACCTATTTAGACTTGATTGCGCTCTTCAGACTTTCACAATGTTTATGATATTTATGCGATTCTACCATGCATTTATTCGTTACCGAATTGTTATATACCATGAAAGTCGAATAAAAAAGTAGATAGATAATGCGGAGTTATTGTACATAAAATGACACAATGATGCAAATAAAAACCGTTCAAGTATTTTGCTATAGACAATGCCAACAATACATTACATAGTTGGCACGAGAGGTATTTAAATAACCTTTGAGAAACCTCATGAGTTCAATGGTCTTCACTCAGTACGTAATGAACCTGAGAGACTCATTTGGCATCTCCCCATCAAAAATGTTTATTTATAACTAGGATTAAAGTGCGGCTCAAAGAACTGATATTTGCATATGCTAATTAAGTTGGGATGCAGGTAATTAGCAGTCAGCATTACCTATAACATTAAACCACAACTTCGTAATGAAGCTTCAAATATTTATTAAAGTAAGCACATTCCGTATAGATTGCATATACACCACAATGTTATTACCAAATAAATCATAGTAAACCACCATTCAAAATTAAAAAAGTGCAGCAATCAGTTTCTGCATCGGTGCTCATTATTAAACCATTAACTCTTGTGGAAGATTTTTAATTGACTTCGTAATTCACAAACAAAAGTGAGTTATGCACATAAATTAGAAATAAGTAATAAAATGCGCATATATTAGAAATAAGTAATAATATGCACATATATTAGAAATAAGTAAGGAAGTAATAAGTAGTTTTTGGTGAATTGATTTCCAGGGGCCTAAGCATTTGTACACCTTATGATTTGGTGATTTTATAAAGCAAATTTTGATTTATGAGTTGAAACGAAAAAATGAGTATATTAATTTTGTCATCCACAAAAAATATCAAAATAATATTCTACCTGCTTGTTTGAATGAACTGGAATGCAGCGGAGGGGCGGAACCTTCTGATCTTTTTGTAGCTGGGAACATCTAAGGAAAAATAAATAATTATTACAGGTAATAAATAACTTCCTATAGGTTGCCAATTAAAACAAACAAATTACTTCCTATCTCAAATAGGCTTCAATGTGGCAGTTTACAGGAACAAAATTGAATTGTGATATAGCATATATGAATGGTGATTAAAAAAAAGTAAATTTATAATTGGCAAATGCATGGAATGATTTTGGGGAAATTTCAGAATTAGAAATGCTCATGGAATTTTTTGTCACTAAATTTTACTTTTTTTTATAAAAAAATTTATTTGCTCAAATCGACGTCACGCTAACTAAGAAGCAATACAATCACGAGAACTGAATACTGAATTCCACATAATGATGTCCTTTTAAAAATTAATGATATTATTATTATTGGCATGATATTGTATGGTCTGTCTAGTCTTTGTCAGTGCGTACAAATTTAACACCGGCGTAAAGGTGTTTACGGCCTAAATAACACATCACACTGACGAAAACTATTAGTGTGATTTTAACAATATGCAATTGCACACATTATCAACGATTTTTTCAGTCTTTTTCAGCTCCAGGCTCCAACACCAGGACAGGGCATACAAAAAAGAATATCATTCGCCCACAATGTATACAGAGTAATTACTTACCGAAAAATCGAGCAGATCCCCAAGCTCTTTTTCTGGATACCCGCCTTGCCTATGCGAAGCGGACTGCATGGCCATCATTGGATGCCTGAGAAACCAGAAATAGAAAACTGTAAACACTTTAAATCACTTGAACTTGCCCAACATTTTAATGAAGCAAAAAACGTGACTATGATTATTCAAGATGTAAATTTGAGACAAGAAATGACAATGAAAGACTCAGTATAGATTTTAATCTCACTATTATTAAGAAAAAATTACGCAGAGAAGGCTGCTATCTAACACGATCTGTCATTGACGCATGGAATTTGAGAAAGCAGAATTGAATCGTGCGAGTGAAATCTGATACATTTTCATTGTTCAACGAAGCAAATTCCTTGTATACCTCACTGATGAGTTAAAATGACATGAAATTGGTACTGAATGTAGATATGATTTATAAAAAAAATCCTATTAAATTAAAACAGATACTGTATTTCTTTGTAAACAATCTTTGTAAAGTTTGTTAGAGAAAATTACAAATTTACTAAAGAAATACCAGAAAGTAAATTGAGAAATTCCTTAATTTCTCAATTTTCCCTTAAAAATTTCACTAGATTTTAACAACAACAACTATATTGTTATATTTTAATATCTGTACCAAATATTTGGTAGCAATGAATACCAACAATACAGCAATAATAGATCATAAAACATCTGTGTGTTACGTATTTAAGAATAAAACTTGAAATTACAAAATATAACTGTTTTTCATCAAAGTCAACTGGCAAACCATGAATATTGAAGTTAGGTATTATCTTTAAACAAAAGCTATAAATTTCCAAACCATATCAATATTTGAATATGAATACGCACAATGTAATCTGGGCATTTTCACTCAAAGCTAATAACATGAACCCAACGTGATTTTTTGCACTGAAAAACAGCGCTTAAATGCCCAAAAATATTTAATTAAGAAACATATACATCATATTTATACATTTTTAAAGAACAAAGTTGAACAATAAAAAATAGTTCATCTCAATTCATGAATTTTCAAATACAATGAATTATTATTTGGTGACCACTATTGGAAAGACACAAAAATATTTCATATTATAGAAATTATAAAGAAATACCTTTATTGTCGAGAAGTACCATGAAGCAATTGATCTGTTAAAAAATTGCTCCAGAAAGTTCAACTTCAGAGACAACCTCTAACAGATACTTCTTCCCTTTATCCACAGTGAAACAAAATAATGATGATGGTATTTCAAATAATAATACAAATTATAAAAATAAATTAAAACTGTAAAAATAAATTAAGAGTGATTCTCTCACCTAGTTCTAGTTAGGGTCGCTGGGGCTGTAATTTGGCTAAATTAATAGCAACAGATCCTGATCTCTAGCAAGTTACCCTTTTTCAACTGGACAATGCCGCTTTTGGTATATTACTCTCACATTATTGAATTACAGTATGTGTTATTTGGAATAATTAAATAGACTGGATATATTAAAGAAGTTGTAGCAAATTCAACGATTGGAAAGGCAATCATAAAGTTATACCTAGCTATTCAGATACCGTATATACAAATGGGAAATAATATAATAACTTCTATTCTAATAGTCAAAAATAATTGTTACATGTAGGATAGGATAAGATAATTCAGCGACTGGAGAGGAAATCATAAAGTCATGCCCAGCTATTCAGATATATACGATTAAGAATATAATATAATGCTAAACCTCTATTCTAACAGTCAAAAATAATTGTTATAGGTTGATTTTGATATATTTCCAAGCAATATTTAGCACTAAATTGATAATTTCAAATGAGGACAATAACAGTCACATCAAAAAATCAACTATAGAGTCAAAGTGAAAACCAGGTAGATATTATTGTGGATAGCTAAAAACAGGTATTAACGAGGAGTCACAAAAACCAGGGCTGAGAGCTGTAGCCATGACAATTTGTCAGAGCTGGAGTTGCAGCTACCAAAAATTAAGAAGCTCCAGCTCCTACACATCTAATTATTTTTTTACATTTCTAATATTGCATAAAAATTATGAAACTATGATTTTAGCTCATGATTTTTTAACTTTAATTCGTAATAATTATTTTATTTAAATCAACCAGCGTTTAAAAGTTTAATCTTAAAACTTGTATCGAAGATTTAAGTCGCTCTTCCAAAAACTAGCATTCAGGCTGTTTTATGGCATTGAAAAAATATCTCAATGCCCATAGAACGGAGCCCAGCTTGAGGTAAGAAATTGAGCTCCATAGCTACAGTTCATCTGCACTACGCTACACATCGGCGTACTCATGTTTTAAAAAATCATTTAAAATCAATCTAGAGAAGAATTCTAGGCTAACCAATAAAGATATCGAGGCAAATTTGCTATTTAAGATGTCTATTTCCTCTGGCAACGAGAAATAAGTTCATAAAATAAATGGTTCAGCTACAATACTATGTTCATAATTTAATGCACTGTTATATTTAATAAAGTTTTTGCAACAAGCGCTTTCGTAAATATGGACATGTTTTAATCCAGGAATAAGAAAATACTGAAAATTAGCAAGCTCAATCCTGCAATTACCATTTTTTTTGTATTCCTCAATGAGATGATTAATATTATGTTACTGGTCATTTATGTTAACTGCTTAATTTTTGGTGATCATGATGCAGGATATTAGACATGAATGTTGTGACTTCCTTGTTTGTTCCCTAACTTGATAACAATGATTTTGATTTTAAATGTCTTTCAGTTTTATGTCAATCTGGCATATTACAGTAATAAGTATCAAACTTTAAAATTCATTAATTCTGTAATTGAACTCACATGCAGATATGGGATTTTTATTCCGACAAGGGAAGCTGATAAGACGGTAGCAGTATACTGGTATAGCGAACCACGATCGCATAACGGCACGTTAAGCACTGCAACAGTCTGCCAGTACAAACAGATACCGGTACCGTATATCAATGTATCATGTGCTGATATTACACCATGGTAGAAATTTAAAACTGACAGAAACTGAGCTTCCCAAGATTTTAACTTAACAATACTCGGTTATAATAGGGCTTCTCCCGCTTCCCTTCTAAACGCAGCGAAGGACATTCACCACAAAGTCTGATCGACCATAGGACGGGATCAGCAAAGCAACAGGCCAGACAGCGAGCCCGACATCCAACGCCAATCAGGACGAAATTCAGCCAGACCGGCGCCATTGGCAATATCTTCAACAGCACAACAGCACCAGCTCTCGATCACGATATAATTCATATTCACATGTACCGTATATATCTTCATATATAAACCATTAAATGCAATCAATCGTCATTCATTCGTTAACCCTACAGAACATAAACGCATCAAAAAAATTAACATTACAAATATCAAAAGAAAACTAACTTGAACTCAACGGACATCGTAAAATTTTACGAAACTTAAACGGAAGGTAGCCTATATGATCTGCAATGCTGATTCCGGTTGGTGAGTATAAAAAATCAACAAAGTAACAAAAAACACTTTACCAATTAATTTTTTTTTTTTTGAAAACGAGAAAAATACTAAATGTGTATTGGCAACGATTTATAAAAACACAAGGGAGCGATGAACAAGGTCAGGTACAAGCGGCCACTGATAACTGACGATATCTTGAAGAAGCTCTCCACCGACCTAGTTGGCTGTCGAAGTTATCCAAATTTATTGGCTCGTTTGGAAAAAGGTACTCCCGTCGTTTTTAATTTTTTCCTATTTTAGTTCTATTACGAGTTCGGGCAATGTCTGTGTTAGCCAAGTGGATAAATATACCCCCTGCCCATAGACTTCCGTCCCTTTACACAACTTGATGTAAAGTAGCCGAACAATTAGTTACCCCCCTATTGGTACACATACTTCTGAAGCGCTAAAAAACGTCCGTTTATCGATGAATCGCTCACGGACAGAGCAATATAATGTTGATAAAGACATACAAGTTACGAATGCCGCAAAATTTCTTTTCGAAAAAACATTCGTGAAAAGGTTTTGTGAAGGATGGACCACGTCATGTTAAACGCAGAAATTTAGAAGAGGTGGTTCAAAAGCATTTCAAATACAATGCCAATTATTGACTGGCTTTCGTTAGAGCAGTGGTAGCCTATCCAAACTAAAGAGGTAATTTGGCAATTTTGGGGGTTATGCGCAGCGTTTACTGTCTTAACATTTTCTTTTGTAATCTACTTGCATTTCGCTTGCCTGTACGACAGCTGGAAATGAAGTGTTCGTATTCAGTCAAATAGCATTGTTATGCCACAATGTAGTCAGTCACACCGTACGTGTCCGTAAGCTAAAATGCTGACCTAACATAAGTTTAGCATCTTAGAGTCGGGTTGGATGATGCAATAGACTGGCAGTGCTTCTCAACCTTTTTTATATCGCGGCTCACTTTCACGGAGAGTTTTACTTCGCGCCCCCTTTATCAAATTAACGTTTTTTCAAGAGGCTAAAATAAATCGAGGTGCCGATCAGACAACACAAAAAGAATACGCGGAATTTTTTTCAATGCGAAACTTGAGAGCTTGTTTGCTAGAAATGATAAGATTTAACCGAGGTTTTAAAGGAGTTGAGCTCACTCGCAAAGCAGCCTCAATATTGTGTCCGTTAAGACTATTTATTGTCTTCGATTTCGTTGCAGTCACGGTTGAAAAGCCCGATTCACAAAGTCGTCAACGGCAGAAGAAATTTGATGGCGCTCTCCGATAAGGATGGATGCTCTTTGCTTGCTTCTATCCAGAATGGGGCAAATCAAATTTTTTATGCTGAAGCTTGAGGCTGCTATCTTCTGAAAGTTCTATGAGGTCACTCTCTGGTTTCGGGGGCAGATCTACCTCGTCTACTACAAAACAAACAGTGAATGGATCGAGAATCCATAAATTTTCAGGTCCAGAAAATAGGTATATATATATATATATATATATTAGGTTTGTGCAACAATTGAGTCAAATGCTGACACCCCGTTCCGATATGTCCACAAGACGTAAAGATTCCAAGTTTTCATACAGTAGTGGAAACATTTTGAACCTTTTATCTTCTGCCATTCCTTTTCCATTTCACGTGAAACCACGCGTCGCTATCGTCACACTGAATCCAACGTGGTTCACTTGGGCCACCTTCAAACACAGCTTTGCATTTACTACACTTATTATCCCCGTCGCTTTTCTTTACGCTTACCTCCGCCTTGTTTTGCTGCTTCTCTTTCTTATTGTCTTCTAAAACTTGTTTACTTTCAGTTAATTTCTGTAACTTCCTCCTATCTATATTATTGTGCTTCTTCTCCTGAATTTTCGTCTGACGATAAATTCAAAGGCTATTTCTTACTGGCGGCGTTTTTCGTCGATTGCATTTTCACGGGCATTTCAAAAATTTCTTTTCTTACCATTTTAAAACAATTTTTTTCTCTACAATAATTTTTTATGTTTGTCTTTCTTTGCTCTTCCTCTTTTTCTATCTCTCGCTTCAGAATCTTCCATGCTATATAAAAGCCATCATTGCATATTTCTGGACTTTGTTATCACGGGTGATAATTGAGAATATAACTCGGAAAAGAAGAGAAATCAGTCGGAGAATGTTATTTAGTAAAATACTGATCTAGGTTGCTGATGTTTATGATGGGGCTTGATGTTAAAGAACGATCTCGTTGAAGCCCCGAAGTTGATGGAATGTCCGCGGAAACTGTGGACGACAGAGATGAAGAAACAGCAGGAACATTCGAAATGGTTGGAGACTGCAGTTTGCATGTGGAGACATGTTTTGAATATCGAATTGTTTAACAGTTTGTGGATCGATGGAGTTGTTCAAAAAGTCCTCCATATTTATAGTAGGAAAATCTGAATTTTGATTGAAATACAAGGAGCATAATTCTTCTGAGATTATTTCTTCTTTTAGCTGTGGAGGGGGCATTATTTGGGTTTTGATTTGCATCACATTCTAGGTGATTTTTGTATGAAGCACCTGATGGTTCCAGTACATCATCTTCTGAAAGATCGCGGTTTTCTGATGAAAAAAAGTTTGAGCCGGTTGGGTACGCGTATAATCAAACGCGTTTTGTTTTACGGGCCATAGCCCGCAAGTCAAAAAAGCTTTCGTGGCCAAGTCGGGACGTGAATTTTCTAAGAAAGAAAGATTGAAAACTCTTCCAAAAGTGTATTTGTCTACCGACGCCTGTTTTCTCTTTGTAAATAAAGAACACTGTTTTGCCCACAAATATTTAAACGAACCGAAATACCCTCTATCAAGAGATTGGAGCAAGTGAGACGTATGGGCGGAGAGGCAAAAAAGTATAAAATTCTGCTCATTTGCCAATTTACTGATTTTAAAGTCCTTATGTGACGTATGTCCATCGCAGAGTAAACGACATTGGTGCGTTCGTTTTTTGGGGGGAGGCTGGGTAGGAACACATGTTCAAATCAGTCATAAAAAGCGTCTTTAGTCATCCAGTCGTTAGGCTGTAGCAAAGTTACGACTTCCTATTGGAAGATCCAGGGCGAATACGGGGTTAACACTTGTGCCGGAGAATATCACGTACGGTGGTAGTATGAGTCCATCGGCTCGAATACATAAAAGGGCTGTGAACTGAGATTTACTAGATCCGGTTATGTGGTAGCTGCATTTTTCATTGGCACTCATTACTATTTTTTCGGACTTTGTTTGCAGATGAAAACCCTATTCGTCGCAGTTGTATACTGCTGATGGCACTGTGATATTATTGTCCTTAATCATATTTTCATAGTCGCCTAGTCGGCAAACCAACTTCGCACTTTTTTCTCTGAACATGCCATGGCCCTGGCCAACTCAAATTTTGCTCTTTTTTTTTAATTTTAAATCAGGGTGTTCAAGCATTCAATTCAGACTAGCCAAGCATATTATTCAACTTTGTTAGTTGCCTCAGCTAGCCATTACACTTGACTAGCCAATTCAGTGACATTAGTGATATATATAACACTATGTCAAGATTTTTCTGGTTATTTTTATGACGAAACAACTCCAAATGCGATTTTTTGTTTACCCTTGCGCAAATGCGACGCGGACCACAGATAATGAAGCGTCGCGCCACATGTGACCCACGGGTCTGGATTTGAACCACCCTGATCTAGAATAAAGGTGATGAGTGAAAAGTTGTACCTCGTATATTGCAAGAGAGACCGGAGGCCTAGCTAGGATGTCGTATTTGCGACGGATAGAGGTATAGGTGATTTGAAACGAAGCCCATAATTGAAAACGAAGCAATGACCTTTCTACTACCATACGCGACCACGCATCTGTGTGAGCATGGATTTTTGGCACTGACGTTCATTAAAACTAAGGCTCGCCTCGATTCATAGTGACGACTTGCCTATTGCGCTCAGTAAAATAGAGCCGCTTATTGAAGATATAATGAATAGGGAAATTTCATTTTCACTCATCACACCGAGTCAATGGACTGCTTCTGATGAATGTTTGTTTGTAATACATTTTTGCGATGTTTAGGTTCAGGTCGCGAGTTATTATAAAATTCAGATTTGGGTCGCGCTCAAAAAAGTTCAAGAACCACTGTGTTAAAGGGACTGATGATCGCGAAGTCTTTCATCGCTCTGGTAGGCGAAACGCAGGCCTATCTACATGGATGATTTCTTTATTACTTATCGATTTTAATCGGTAAGTATGTTGATAGATATTTGTCTGTTAGATGCACGCGATATCTCACGAAAGCGAGATTGATTCTGCATGTGCATTCATCATATGTCGGACCAGAAGCCTATTGATTTTGGATGAATTATGTCGTATAATTAGCGAGGTATTAATTACTTAGTGATGAGACACAAGGTGTCACTATGGAGTAAGAGCGCTGTTTTGGGGGATCCCTAACTTTCGATCGATAAGCTTTCGGTCTCTGACCGATATTCTCGTTTGATTCATTTCCAGTGTGATGTGATATTGTTTCATTTATGAAGGTGTTTTCTCTTTTCTTGCTGTTCGATTTATTCATATTGTCATAATGTCGTGGACAAGTGTTTGCGCTGTTGTATCGACTAATATATTGCCCAATAGACCCAGATTCGACTGTTCTTGCTCGACTCCGAATATTTATGCCTACGTTAGCCCATTTTGTCGTTAAGATAGGACGTGTTTTTGTTGCTTTTCGTTATATCTGTTCAAATCCGTGCATTTCTGCTGGGAAATAAAGTTCTTTACTGGCGTCATCATATTATCCAACCTATTGTGTGGCTTTGCAGCACACGTAATCTTTTAAGGGTTTTGCAAACTTGGAGAGTACACTTATTCGTGATTTTGCACCGCTGCTCTTGTCTAACTATAATAATTAATACACACAAACAATTAAATGAACATTTGTATTTCCCGCCGAAATGTGCAAGTGAACCTTACCCCAAATATGTTTTGTCTCGGCCCATCAAAAATGATTCATTCGCATAGAGATGTCGGCATGATATAGCTGATTCCTTACAAAAGAGCTACATATCAGCGGGATTTCTAAACGACAATTTTAATGTTTGATACGGAATGAGAAATATTGTTTTGGAAATATATCTTGCACCTCAGCTACCGTTGTTATATTCAACAAACGGAAATGACGAAGCTCGGATTCGATTCTAGCCTATGATATGTTCGCTCAAAAAGTTACTGTATAAACAAATCAGAGTTACTTATCTGATTAATAATAATTTTGACAAGGAATTCATCAAAGAAGTTTGGTAAGGCATTCTAATCAAAGTCATAAATTATAGATAAAACTTCAAACTCCTTCTTATCTTTAACTCCAATAATATTTACAAATGTGAATTATTGGTCGACACTTTCACGCCTTTTTTTTCTAACATTAGAAAGAATAAAGAGCCAAGTACAGCTCCTTGTGGAACCCCATGCTTCAATACACAAAGATTGGATTAAAGGACAGAATTGTCAATGATGCCAAAGACTTTTGAAATACTATATCTAACAATTTGCAATGGCATGTAGCGTGCTTTCAAAACGTTTCAATATTTCAAATAGAATCCCGTCGATGCCGAAACTAGATTTAAGTTTCATCTCGTCCATGATGCTTCTATTTATTTCCAATGACACAGTGGGCCTTCGACGCATGGGAAGTTAATTGGGTTTTAAAATATGATAGAAGCTAGCTGGTTGTGAAATTTTGTCAAGCAAATTGTGTGCCACTTCGCGACAATGTCAGAATAAAAACTTTTTCGATCTTAAACTCCATTAGTATTTCCATTGTGCAAATTGCTCCAGATGTCGGATTGCTGTTTGCCGATATGATATGGGCGAAGTCGAGAATATCGAAGAAAAAATATGACAGGCCAAGAGAAAACCATGATTAGTATTTAGATATAGTTCTAGTTCTTAGATTCTACATCTCGAGCGGTCTTATAAATTGGCTGCTCGTTTGCTTATCCGTTAAACCTAGATTTTTAGGAGCATGCGAATCTTTAGTTTGATAAACGTTACAAGTGTAATTCAGAAATGCACAAGTTCAAACCGCTATATATTTTTGCAATTGAAACATTTTGCAAAAATTTTATTTTGACTTTTCTCGGAACTTGTCGTTCTATATCAATATTTTGAAGTCTCTAAATTTCACTTTACTTTTTAAGAATATATATATTAATTAAATTATTTAAATATATTTCAAAAGTTGACGTGATTGCATATTTTATTTTGTAAAAATACCACACACATCAATTGCTTGAGTCTGAGGTTCCTGAAGATTAGTATTTCAGACAAAACGCCATCTCCGATTTCAAATTGTATATTCGTTGAAACATCTTCCAGTCGTTTTATTCTTATTATATAGCTGTAATTCCATTCGCGTTATTGAATAATATCAATAAACATGTTTGAAGTATTGTACTTAAGAGACTTTGTGTGGAGGCTTTTCATCGTGGCTACACTATCTCTTAGCATTCCTAATTTCAATGGCCCTTTTGGTTGTTAAAGTATTGTTTTCCCTCCGCGCCAATACAAAGACTTCGAAAGGCAACACGTTTGTTAATGCGAGTAGTAATAGTTACAATTCGGTATCTATTACAAATAGTAAATGAATGTTTTGAAGAAGTCATTTATTTTATGATCTGAGTAAATCCGTTGCTCGTCTTCACAGCATGATTGTGAGGTAAAGTTTTGTATGCGCACGAAGCTTTCAATAGAACGAAGTGGCGTCGGGTAAACTAGAGCTGAATTCTTGGACCGTTGTTCAGAAGTCGAGTTTGTTAGGGCTAGTTGGAATGAACCATACTATATGTACTGATAAAAATTTATTTCAAAAGTCGAGTTTTACAGACGAATAGTGTTTGATGCGGGGTGTAATTTAATTGATTAGGTAGGGCGAGTGGTTGCTGATATAGTTTTAGTGCGTTCGCCCGTTTAGTATTTGCGCCTCGCGGGGTACATCGCTAAGTAATATGACGTTGAAACACTTTTGTTAGTGATCAACATAGGTTTTGCAGTCTACAGTAAGTTATATTGGCAAATAAGGTTTTAAAGATTCGGATTAAAAAAACAAATATATTAAGCGCAACGAGTGAGCCTTTTAGTTCGCAGATAGAGTATGCCTCACTATATGATCCGGACAGATTGAGAAAATTAAGGGAAATAAAACGTAAATATAATATTGGCTGATTTCGGATATTCACCAATTGGCGTGAAGGAAAGCGACAGAGAAAAAGGCAGACTGATTCACGTTGTGATTTTCCACGTCCAACGAAAGGTTGATAGCGAAGTCGTTCCCGTTGGACCCCGATACTAGTGTGGTATAATAACAGTATATATATATATATTTATTTATTCACCTTTTTTCTTTTCTATGTAAATTTTGTACATGCGGGCCATAATATATTACGAGGAGATGGTATGAATAATCTTCATTCTAATTTATACTATTGATTTATATTTATTATTATAAAATAACTCAAAAAGTACTAGGAGATAGGCACAATGGCGAATTCTTCCTCGGATTCCATTGGCTCATTTTCGGCTGAAAAAATGGACCAGAAAACAAAGGATATATTCAATGGAAAAGCATTGATTGATAGGCTTTTAGTGTACTTTTCTAAGTTTGAAGGTAGTCGAGATAAAGCGAAACGTTACGCCCAAAAACTGCTCGATTTGGGTCATATTGAAAGTTTGGCCCAATCTCTGACGTTTGAAGATTCGTCGCAGGAATACAGATGGACTGATGTTGCGAGTGTTGTAAACAAAGCAAAGGCAAAAGTAGCCGCGCAAGATGTTTCAAATAATAGTATAGTAAATGGTGAAGGCAATGAACATGAAAGCAGAAACGCGAAGCCTCGCAGGCCTACATTACGAATCAGTATAGAAGCTGATAACTGCGATGGTGCTGAAATTCAAGCACATATACGTACAAATCCGACAACTAAAAATAGCATGACTCGATCTTCAACAAAGTCTGGAGACACAATTTGCTTTTCTGGAGTTCAAAACGGAAAGATGATAAGCTTCGTCACCGAGACTTCAAAAACTGAGGAAGTACTACGGTTAGTGATCTTGTTTCTTCTTGAAGTTTTTAGATTATATAGTGTGAGTTTTGCTATAAAAATTAAAAAAACTAGTACAAATTTTGGAGTTAATCGTGGTAAAATATGTGTTTTAGACATTTGGGTGCATTTATTGTTACCAGGCAAAAATAACATCCGATCTCGGAGTGGATATAAATAATAAATGTTGTAGGCTTTTCTAACATCTATACAAGAAATATTAACGCGTTATCAACTGATATACCAGATCTTTTTCAAAAATTATTTTCTTTAAAACTAATTATATATATATATATTTAAACGATGCTTGGTAGGCTGACAAAATTAGCCTTATAATATCGATATATTTCGTACTCTTTATATGCAAGAGCTTAGATGCGTTGTATGAAAACGAAAATAAAATGATATGAATTTTCGTTTATTTTTAAGAATGGTGCCAGTGTCGACAGTGATTAATGAAGAGGATCTTTCTCAAAATTCAAATTCCAAAAGTATAAAATCAAATTCTGAACAACAAAATGATTTTCGTTCAAAAGATCACCACTGCAAAAATTTGAAGACGAAACCTAATCATGGGATTAAGGAATATAATTACAATAGCTCTGAATCTGACAGCGCGGTTGAGGTAGATAACTCAAGTACCATCGAACAAACCACATCAATTGACAATTCATCTACACCTGGGAAAGGTGTAACTTCAATGAGTACAATTACTTTTGATGAGAAAGTGACTCAAAATGGCATGGAGCACACTAGAAAATTTGAAACGTCAGACGTCGAACGGAATTTGATGAGCGAACCAAGTGGAAAAATAAAATCTAACTTACATAAATATAAATGGGAAAAACAAACGACAAAAATGTCTGATCAAAGAGAAGAAACAGTGAGTGATTCCATTAAAAAATACGAATCGAAAAAGATTTCGATACCTCATAACTCTACTCCGCACCCTGGTGGACAAAATTGTGACAATAAAAAGGTTAAAGAAAATCGCCAAAGCTTATCAAGCATCAGTAGCCTGAGTGATTCCGAGAAAAATTATCCTTCTCCAGAGGGTAGTCCTCCCCTGCAAACTAAGAAAATGCAATTCAAAGGCGACAGTGAGTGGATAAAATTAAGGAGAGAATACCTTGAACATTCAGGTGAGATTTTTTTACATTTACGAGAAGCCTTATACTGATGTGCAAAAATAATAACACTACTAAATCTATGTTTTATTTCAGAAATAAGAGAAATGACGGAACTGAAAAATGGAGAGACAACCGTATACAATGATACTGGTATATCACTTCATGCAGTGAACGAGGACGTTCGGGAAGAAGAGAGCGAAGATATTATGAAGGTGACGAGAAGACTTTCAATGATCAAAACAAATTCATTTTAATGTATAAATAACTGCTTCAATACTGTAGCAAATCCAATGGCCTTTCAATTCAAACAAACACGATAATCGTGTTGAAAGCAACCCCATGAGTTAATCACAGTTATTCGAATGTAAGTTGAAACGAACTTCACTCAGAACACGACACATTCATCACAGTTTTTCATAGCAGGATTTATATTCACTTAAAGAATGTGGCTTAATATAAAACTCCTGATTGACAATACACGCTTTGTGCAGCTTCCCGATAAATTAAATCCGCCGTCTATTTGGTAGCCGCGCAGCTAGCTACGGATAAAACTATCCAAACGGCGATTAAGGCCATATATCAATCTCTATTCAATAATGTGATAATTCATTTTATATCTGTAGGATTCGAATCTATCGAATGTTGAGAATCTTGTTATACCAGATCAACCAATCATCCCCATATCACCGCCACCATCTACTCCAACAAGCCCTCGGAAATCTCCAAGCGATCTCGGAATCAAATCTTTATTTTGGACAAAACTTGTCTGTGATTCCACACAACCAGACGAAGCTGAAGGAATATTTTGGTCAAATGTGGAGAAGAGACATCGATTTAATGAAGAAGAGTTTGTGAAGTATAAATATGTATATTTTTCGGCATTTAAGCAGTTGATTTTAAAGATTTAATTAGTTTTATTGAAAAATATTCAGTATTGATATAAAATATCAGCTCATGCTCGGTATGGCATACCCAATCTTAAGTTAATGCATGAACATAGATGAAGTCTTAACAGACCAGCGGATACATGAATATATGTGCAACGAAAAAGATCAGTAGTTTCGCACGGTTCTGGGAAAATTCTGCCGCATAGGAAAAATCGCCGCATGAAAAATCGCCGCCGATCGCTGACAAAAACAGTTAGGTTTTTATTTAAAAAGGATAAAGCATACCCTTACCCCACAAACCTAACTGTTTTTATCCCCAATACTTTACAGCAAAATGATCTTGCTGCAATTTTTTATGCTATCACAAATATATTTGTTTTACAGCAAAATTCCCTTGCGGAGAATTTTCCTATGCGGCGAAATTTCCTGCAGCAAGATTCCCTACGACGAAATTTCCTGCGGCGAATTTTCCGGACACGGTTTCGCACATAAGCCTTGTCTAAACTAAAGTAGTCCAACCTTCCGAGGCCATTCTGGGTAATCAATCTGTGACGTGACCGTAAACGTGTCCTTTACACCTCCACACGCGATGATCTATTGTAGACCCCAAAAATGTTACTCCAAAATTGACATCAATATGAAAGTTTACATTTAAAAAAAATATATATATATACCAAGTTTGTTATTTGAAGATTATTCAGCAAACCCGCACCATCGCCGATACACAAAACTTCCCGAACAAGAATAACTCAACAACAAGAACAAGAGTTGGCTGAAGGAAAAGCCCTGAAAGTACTCTCTACGGAAAGGTCTCGTCAAGTTGGCATCAGAGCCAGCTCTATTCGACTTCCAGTTGAAGATATACATGATGCTGTCTTAAATATGGACGATTCCGCCTTAGACCTTGACGCGTAAGTGATACATCATCAAAAATTAAGTACACAGTGAATTTAATAACTGCTCAATGTCTGTTAAAGTGCAGATATGGTGTGTCTGACAGTATAAATATTTACTTTATCTTGAAGTTTCTATGATGGCAAATTCAATTGGTGATTATGTTAATATATCTTGACTTGGACTAAACATGTCGTTGTGTTTCAATAAATGATAACGATTATTTCTTAGCTTGGAAGCCCTTTACGATGTCCGACCTACTTCTGACGAACTGGACGATTTCAGTGATGCGCTGAAGAAATTTCCGAACGGAGTTTTGGACAAACCAGAACAGTTTGTACTGATGTTGGCAATGCTTGGAAATTTAGATGAGAGATTAAAGGTAGTATCAAGTACCTCTCAATTTCTGATCTGCTTTTGACAGATTTCTTTCTGCTTCTGATCTGCTTCGCTCTGCCTTTCTGATTTGACACTAAGAACTATACGGGTAATTTACTCAAACAGCGCAAATCGTATACGACAGGGGTGTGCAACCTTCAATACAGGAGAGCCTGATACAAGTAACTGGGTGAAACCGTGGGCCGCACCTTTTTAACATAGGCTTTTTAATAGTTGTAGGCACAAAAATTTTGGTTATTAATCTTACGACCACACATTGTTCACTAGCACAAGCTAGCTTCGGGCATTGTAACGTCATATATATGCATAAATTAGATCCAGATATAGTCTTTGCATCGTGAAGGGATTGGGATTAGTCGCACGTTCCAGATCGAACTGAAATAAGAATTCTATTCGCGGGACGCACACCATTCTCAATTGGCGCTTCTCCGCGGGCCGCACAATTTTTCCCTGCGGTTCGAACTTGGCCTACGGGCAGGCCGCAGGTTTCACACCCTCTGGTATACGGCACACACATTCTATCATTATATGGCGCATTCTATAATTGGTGATATAATATATTTATAACTAAGATTTCGCTAACGTCAGTGTCTACGCCTATGTAACTGAAGATAAAGTACAATTATATATTGTTGTTGAGATTAGGCCGGTGTTATACACTTACTATAAATCTGATCCAAATATGCATCAGTCGAACGTATGGCTTTTATCTGACAGTATACAGTAAAAATTTTATTCCGCATGATATAAATACAAATATAACGGGACAGCAGTCTCTGACAAAGAAGTCTGAGACAATCGTAATTAAGCGGTACTTTACATCTCCGAGATTATTGCGTCATACTAGTTTTATTGAAGATTATTTGCGCAAGTCTGATAGTGTAGAATCTTACTCAATACCTAACAGTCATTATTTATTACAGAGTTGGATATTTGCGAAAAAATTTCCCGATAAAATTCTAGACATCAAGGATCAATTGAACGCGATGTCAAATGCATGCATCCAAATCGTAAGAAAGTAAGCAGGAAGACATTTTCCCATTTGTATATTCATGAAACCACCATTTACATGCAATTTATTACATTTTACCCACTTATGAATTCAATAAGTTACAAAATGTGGCATCATTATGAATTCCATATTTGCACCATTTGAGGATATAAGATAAAGATATATTCTGCATTGAAAACGCGAGAGATATGATAAGATTGAACCAAAAGTTCAAATAAAAATTTAAAGTTGTCAATATTCAAAACGAATATTGAAACGAATTTAAAGGCGAATTGCTGAATTTTGAACTGGATTCAACCCAGGGCCAGCCAGTATAAGACAGTTATTTCAAAGTCAGGATAACGGAATAAACGAGAATATCGGTCAGAGACCGAAGACTTATCGATTGAAAGTTAGGGGATCCCCCAAAACAGCGCTCTTACTCCATAGTGACACCTTGTGTCCCATCACTAATTAATTAGAAACTCGCTAATTATACGACATAATTCGCCCAAAATCAATAGGCTACTGGTCCGAGATATGATGAATGCACATGCAAAATCTGCAGCATATCCAATCTCACTTTCGTCGCGTAGAGATATCGCGTGCATCTAACAGACAAACAGACAGATAAACAGACAAATACCTATCAACATACTTACCAATAAAAATCGATAAGTAACAGGCCCAACTAATACATTATTTACATATTTCAAGTTCAACCCTGCAGAAATTGCTGGAAGCTGTTTTGATGCTTGGTAATATTATGAACAAAGGAACACAACGCGGAAATGCAGATGGATATTTACTAGATATATTGCCGAAGTTAAAAGATGTCAAATCTCAGGTAATTTGATTGATTTGCTCTCAGAAACGAAATATTGTCAAACAAATTCTTTTTGTTTCTAGGGTGGTGATATAAATCTCACATTATATTTGGTAAGATGGATAATATCGGAGCAAGAAAAATCAAATTCAGATTTCATAAAAAGACAAGTAAGCAACCATTTTTATGCCATTTTTCTTTGGAAAGATACAAGTAGTTGTCACACAATAGGGATGCATGTATATAACTTCCATATTCATTAAAATGATATTCAAAATGAATATAAGTTGGAGGAAATAGCATGATCACTACATTTCATGATTATACATCCAGCTCTGTTTCATTTTAATATTTATAATGTAGATTTTATGTAATTCGACGAAATTTCATATTCTCTATGTAAGTGAGGTGAGAGATACAATAATCTATATTTTGTGAGTGTGTGAGCCACACTACTGACACATATTTGTACGATGTATTATCTGTGGCACGACTATGCGTATACGGGCACCTGAGCTCCAACCTGACCGTAATTTTATTTCTCCAGGACAGCAAAGTTTCAGCGCTTACAGATGATGGAGAAGCCAATGATTGTCACCTTCCAGGCCAAACCGTTTTACAAAAAGCATGTTCTGTCAGTATCCAAGACGTATTGGAAGATATAGAATGCATTTCGGCAGAATTAACCGAATGTAAAGACCAACTCATTCCTGCTGTCATTGAAGGAGCAACTTGTATTGCGGAAATCAAGCCATTCAATGACAGGATGACAGATTTTATTGGGCAAGGTTAGAAATAGTTCGATTTACGCAAAAAAATTCTATACATCTTAATATATAAATCAAATCTTTTATACTGATCTTTCGAGTGTTTTCTCTTATAGATACAAGTATATATATATATATCTATTTCACAACAGAATCACATAAGACTACTTCCGATTTATCCAAAATGATAATTTTAGTGTGCCAGTAATGCACATTAGTACCTTTTTTCAAATTAAATCACCCTTCACAGAGTGTTTTACATTTTACATATATATCCAGGCTATATACGAAATATGTGTATATATAGAGACGAAGACATTTTCAAAACATAACTCTTATTTCTTATTTTTAGCTGAAAAAGCACTGTCCGAACTTCAAACGTTGGCTGCAGAAACATCTGATATTGCTGAGGAATTTAAACTCTATTATGTTCCAACGGAGAACACGAAAACAGTAAAATCTGAAACTGTATTTGGCTAAATTTTTTAATTTCTATCATAAATTTTTGATTTTTTTTTTTTTACAGGAATCTATCGGAAACATGTTAAAGCATATCAATAGTTTTTGTGAAGATTTTCGAATGTATTGGAACGAAGAGAAACGCAATGCCGCAAAAGAAGTATTTTTTAATACGGAAAAGGCAAGAAGAGTAAGAAGAAGTTTTTATATTGTATTCGTAGCTAAATAGGGCTTCCGGGAGACAAAAATAACAATTTCGGTATAGAAAATTTGCGATGAATACCTTTGATATTATATGCCAGTTCAGTTTAAAAATCGGGGTAAGCATCGAGTCACCCACCCACTTTGAGAGCTACAGGGCCAATCTGGCTAATGTTGCATAGCCAAAGCGCATAAATAGTCAAATACACCAAAAAGATGTCTTACAAAGATTTTACCACAAGTGTTTAGAAAAATTTCGTTTCTTTTATTCAGCAACGAATAGCAGCAATAAAAATTGCAAAATCACCCTCGGCTTTGAAAGCGAGATTTTTGGAGAAAAGAAAGCGAGATGGTACTAAAGAGCAGAATGAAAATAATGAACTACTAAAACCGAGTGAGAATTCACAGAAGCAACGGCCGCCAGGACGACGCGAGTTCAGAAATGATGGTCACGGGCAACGTCAGGATACGCCGTTACATCGGTCTGCCAATTGGAAGAACTCGAGCACGAAACAAGTACATGAGGTAAAATTGCATTTGGTGTCGAAAACATAGTAAAGTAATAGCGGTAACTAATGAGGCCATATGTTCTATGCCCTATTCTTTGTATGTTTTAGGATTTGATTTGTAGCCAAAGCACAAGTGGACGCCGTTTACAGGGAGTTTCCCGTTCAAACAACCAAGTTTCAACGCCATCATCTCGTGTTCAGAAACCAGTGGAGAGAGCCAATGTTGCTAACGGCCATGCTAGTTACGAGGCTGCTTACAAACCCGTGACTCCTACAACCTCGGCCATCCGACCTGCTAGAAAGACTGGTCCTAATACCGGCAACACGCCCGTAGCAATGTCTAGAATGAAACAAGCTATGACAAAAAGGCGATTACTACTGAAGTCAAAGACGTGTTGATAACAAAGTTGTTTTGGACTATAGATGTAGGTCGGACTGCGATTTTTTACAATGTTCCGAGATTAAAATTAGGAAACTTAAACATTAAAAAATTTTCAATTATGTAGAAGACATCATACTTTCTGCCCGGGTTGATGAAATCGATTTATTGAATTTCAGTTTCGGGGCCTACTTCAGAACTAAACATTTTTCTTAAACAAAACAGTAATTTTTGACTTGAGGTCCGGTACAATCACCACGCCATAAGCTTACTGAAAGGCTCTTTTTTTTTTGTTTAGATAATGGTTACTAACGTGAAATTGCTATATTATCGGTGATGAAAATCCTATTCTTATATATAGTTTATAATTTCAGTTTCAATTTGTGATATTTTGAAAGATTTGTAACTTGTATATATGTTTATATTTTGAGTACAGTATAATTATTAAACTGTTGATTATACGAATAGATTCATTTAAAAAACGATATGAACTTGGATGCCTAGAAATTCTAAAACTGTTTGCTGCAAAAGGTAACATCTTGCATTAAAACAATTGCATAGTCAGAAAACAAATAACCGCGATAATATCCATAAAAAAGACTGAGAAAAAAAGAGTTCCGTTGATGGAGGGTAACTGACTAAAATGGAAAACTTACTGTCTATATGACGATTCAAGAGACTTCTGCGTGAGGTTATTCGAATGGTCTAAGAAAACGTGGCGCTAATTGTAGCGCATTCGTAGTTTCATAGTCGTTTCAGAATTGGAGCAAAGTATTGAATAATTGCGGAAAACCCTTATAATCTCAAACTTGTTTTATGAAAATACAGAATTGTTTATTCAGTGGTCGAAGCAGACGTTTGCTGAGTTTCATTTCGGTCATTTATTGAAATCGCCGACCAAGACCTGCATGATGTATACGCGCAAATAAACCTACATTTCTAACAAGAAATAGCAAATAACCAACATTCCGTAAAAGTGGATTCCACACGCCATAATCACAGATTTCTTGATTGAAACAACATATCCGATGGACAAAATTATTTCGACGACACTGCACTATTTTGTAATTCAACTGGGGCTGTTTCTGCTTACATCACTTGGTATACTTTACAAAATTATGGAGTTCTTGCTACGGTCAGTATTGTCCTTGTTTCATGGACAAAATCAGTATTTCTTCTTATTATTGCTAGGACGCATTACAAAAAATTAAACGCAGATATGCATACCGGTCATGATAGTAAGACATTAATAAGAATAGAATGTAAGCAACCAACTAATGCATTCCAATTCCATAATTGTTGCATTCCAAATGCATTCAATCATTATTTTGCCAAACAAAGTAATGCTCACACTCCTAAAACAGTTCAGCATCTACATCCCATGTGTGTGTTTAGCCACAAACAAACGTGGTGTCAGAATCGGGAATGATTTAAAGCTGCTTGAAGAATTCAGAAATCGCGTCGGTGAGAAATTAATTTAGAGACCTTACTGTTGCGCTCGATTCTATGTAGCCTGGTCTACTTCTCACGCCCATTAAGCGTTCGGAGAACTTCAAAAAGACGTCCCAAAAACCCAGTCCTGACCCCAAACTTATGTCGGTTTATTGTTATAACTACTCCGTGCTTTCAAGCAATTAAGGTCTGTAAACAGTGGTTGAAGTGCCCCAGATACTTCTGTGCCTTCTAAGTGCCCTAATATAATCCAACTTATAATAATCGGTGAATATCTTTAATAACAATCAACAGATGATACTTGAAATCAAATCTCGAATTACTAGAAACTGGATATGTAGAACTTGGTATCGGGTACGAGGAACGGTTTTCTGCCAAAATAATAGATAAAACTAAATAGCCTATATGGCACATTTAATCAAATATAACAGCATTACCATTTTACAAGCAATAATAATTCACAGCAATAAGCAGATAACCATATGTCACAATTATGTACAGATTAATTTACTATTTACATAGGATAAAATAGTATTCACAATACTAAAATACAGCATAAATCATACAAGATAAAACAATATTTACATACCGAATAATTAGGTCTTTAGGATCTCCAGGCAACTCAATTCAACAAATTACAATCCAACGCTAATACAACTTAACTTAGGTGATTAAACATAAAGAACAGGTATTATTCTATTTGGACCCTAATACAACCCTAACCTGCGTCCCTACAGTCTAATCCAGTGCTCTTCAACCGGGTATACGGTATACCCAAGTGTATACCGGATCATAAGTAGGGCAAACAAGCCTGTAGTGCAACGCCAAGCCGACCCGTGAGAGTGCAGTGGCAAGCTAAACCCTCGCTCTCGTCGTTGCAAATACAAGAGTGGGGGACAACAGTTACTACATTTGATCTTAGCCAATAGGCCGAAGAAGCGATACATGGTCGGTGTTTCCAGGCAATAATGTATTGGGAATTTATGAAAACAGTGCCGGTGATGGCAATATAGTTTCCACTTACATTACTAATCAGTAGGGCTGGGAATGGTTAACCGGGTAATCAGTTGACCGATTTTAGATGGTTAACGGTTGCGATTTATTTTAACCGTTTTAACTGACATCTCAGGTCTCATCTTTATAAATAATGTACAATTTCTTGATGATTTCGTCATTGCAAATTTATCTCCTGTAGCGTTTAATTAAAAAGAATATCACTAATTGAATTTGTGAAGACCCAGTGAATGTGAAAAATAATTGAAGTACCAAGGTTGCAAATTATGAAAATGTGACAATGATAAACTCATAATCAGTTTTCGATAAAAGCATATTCTTCAGTAAAAATGTGCGCAGTTGATGCTGCTTTCTGTATGATATCTCAAAGAAGAATTTGCACATTGGGCACTGTAATTTTGTCACATAAGTGACATTGAATAACGGAAACGGTTTCACTAAAATACTTCCATATGTCCGAAGCACGCTGCATATCTCTGGCAGCAAAGCGATCACGAAACGATCTAGATTCGTCAATAATTTTGAGAGATACCAGGATAAGATCACTCGAAATTAATTTGTAACTATTGTGACGTTATAAGCTAGAATTATAAAATATTACGTGAAACATCACGCTGTGGTTAACGAGATAACGTGTTTTCCTTGAAATTCCCAGCCCCACTAATCAGCGCTTCCTTGAATGGGCACCAGATGTTGGAAATGTAAATGAAATTCTTTAATGAAATGTCAATTCACGTGAAACGGTAAACGCTCTTCTTGGAATTGGCGATTTAAATCTCCTCCACCTATTTGGAACTGAGGCATAGTTGAAATGTAAAAATAGGCAGTTTTAGTTTGTATTATTAATTTAATACAGGATGAATATATGTATTGCTTCTCTTCGCTGCTGCCCTTGGCAAGACGAAACGTTGCAGATACACATTAGTGTTAGTGTGCACAGCAATTCTGAGTTTAACATAAAATTTCTATGATATATGGCAGGGGTGGGCACAATTTTTTAGTATAAGAGCCGCATGCTGCAAGTCAGAACTTTAAAAGAGCCGCAGAATTTGTGAATTTATTAATATTATCGAAATACCATGAACAGAAAAGAAATTCACACAAGAGTCTAATAACAATAAATAGATAAACAAGGCAGCTATACTTAAATATATGCACAATTTGAGCTCATTTAACTTGTGTTTTCTTATAGCTGATTTACGAGGGTAGTCTTGTAAGAAGTTTTCATGATTCGTTTCATGGTGCCGTTTAACATTGCTGACTTTATTCTGACTTAGTAGCTTATGACAGATTGAGCACAATACTTTATTCTCCTGACTGGTAAATGCGTATTCTTCTTCCCATTCTGACTTGAGAACTCTATTTTCATCTTCGTACTTTCGTTTTTTAATTGAGGACATATCGCACAGTAACTTAGATTAACATAGACCCCCCCCCTCTTCGCAGATCTACAGGCACTGTTAAAAACCTGATAGATATGTGTATTGAATGATAATGTTTTATTTTATTGCACATTTATTAATGCTATTTGTATTAATATGCTATTTCTTGTTTGACGAGAAGATGTGACGTAATGTGATTACTCAAATGATGAGTAGCGCGACAACTCTTAATTGTTGCGGCGCAATGCATCTCATCTACTCGTCTGGCTCGCCAGTCGATATTAAGTTGTGTTAACTTGTAGACGTTTGTTTATGTGACTAATAGTTGAGGTTGCGTGAAACTAACTACCTTTGCTTGCTCTCTATGCCTTTGCGCAGGTGGATCCGTATGCGTATTGCGTGAAACCAATGACATTAAACAACATGATAGGCAACTCTGACGTCACTCCATAAGACTACATGCGAAAGATAGTATTTCGTGATACGCTCCAATGCACATATTTCTCGTCGCCTTTCGCGACGGTTTTCCGCTTGCTTTTGCTACTCGGCGTCTTCTTTACGTGTAGTACCTGCCTTTTTGCGCCTGTAACGAAAGAAAATAATCTCTATATCTGAGAAGTTTTGCTCATTTGGAAAGCTGGAATGGCAGACAAGCTGTAAAGAGTAATTCTGAACATCATAGACGTTTTTTTTATCAGAGAATATTACAAACGCGATAGCGTAAAACGCGATTTGTGTGAAACATTTTGCAGATAATGACAAAGTTCAAAGTTAGTAATTTTAATGTTTGCGCTTAAACATTGAAATTTCATTTAAAGAGGGTGTCATACAAAACAGCAAAACTGTTTTTACTTCTCTTAAAGGTGCTGTGATACAATTCCATAACACAAAGTTTGAAACAATCGAACTTGCTTTAGTAGGTGAATTTATTAGACACATTACATATTCAGTTAATCGTAGGTAACATTGCTGGTACATAATGCCTCGTAGATAGGTTTGTGTCTAAATTTCTAAATTTAGCTCATAGCCCGCTAATTAATATTATCTTCTATGCAGGAGATTGCAGGGCTGATTCAACTTGCAGCCTTACCGATCACCTGACGATGCTCATTTAGTTTGGCTCGAGCAAGTCTTCTTGAAATGCTTGTGTGGATGGAAACTACCTATATTTTTTGCCTTCCTCCGATTTTAGACAAATTTACTCTGAGGGATTTCGCATATAATTCTCACTGATTGTTGGCTGTTTATAATTTCTATTGATTGTGATGAATTCTGATTATAACAATGAGTTGAAAATTTTGTTACCTAATTTACTGGCACCTTTTTCTTGTCAATACTCCAAGCTGAGGTAATAAACATGACAATACATTTATGTCATCTGGAAGCAAAATATGCACACTAATTAATAGTTTGGCACATTGAGATAATACATCATGACAGAAAATACAAGTTAAAGATATGTATGACCATCACATGGTAATTAAAATTAAAAAAAAATTAATAGGGGCTGTGGAGTATGGAAAGTTCAAGACGAAGAAAAGAACAAATGTTCATAGCTCATGAACTCTCAATTTTGCCTCCATTGCTTTGTGAAGGCCAATATATTTTGAGTGGC